CACCCTGTAGATCTTCGTCCATTTTTTGCTCCAGAAAGCTCTCATAACTCAGGGTCCAGGGGCGTTCGACACATAATGAGAACAGATTTGGAGTCAGCATCTGAAGTCTTTTTATCAGTAAATCCTTGGAGACTTAGCCGTACCTGACCTATCCCGCCTCGCGAGCAGTTTTTTTTCGAAGGTTGAAGCACAAGGTGCGCCCGCTTTACCGGAGGTTGCGTCCCGCCTCTTGGTAAGCGCGCATTGCTGGTACGTTGCCAAATGGGGAGACGCGCGTACGGGTCTCAGGGATCGTTCAGACCGCGCCGGTACCCGTCCAAACCCGCCCAAATACGTCCAAACCCGCCCAAATACGTCCGAATACGCCCGAACCCGCCTGAACGCCGGAACTGCCAAAGCGCAGCGGCTATGCGGCAAATTGACATATTGGAGCACGCATGGGATTGATCCTTGTGAAATCGGAGTAGTTGCAAAAGATCAGTATGTAACGTCGAGCTACGTGTGACTAAGTTATATGCACGAGGCACGCAGTATTCTGCGCGTGCTCCAATATGCCAATTTGCCGCATAACCGCTGCGCTTTGGCAATTCCGGCGTTCGGGCGGGTTCGGGCGTATTTGGACGTATTTGGGCGGGTTTGGACGTATTTGGGCGGATTTGGACGTATTCGGGCGGATTCGGACGTATTCGGGCGGGTTTGGACGGGTACCGGCGCGGTCTGAACGATCCCTCAGCGCGACAAAAGACGGCTATCGTCGCGATACGGCGCGAGGTTGCATATCGAACGGTCGTTATCCCAACTTGGTCTAATCTTGGTTGAGTAGAGGCTGTAGAGCTTTTCACAACGCCAACTCTAGGATGCCATCATGTCCAGACATGTTCAAACCAGTTTTCTGTACAAGATTATAGAAGTAAAACCCAAATCGAGTAGTTACCGTAATCGAAGCAAGCCGTAAAGTTAAATGCGCGCCTCCGCAGTTACACTATGCACCATATTTCACGCCTAAAATCACAATTTCATGCGCATTTTGTTCCCGCAATCGACATGAGATGCTGAAACAGAGATTTCAGATTTCCAAAATTTAGATTCAGTAAAGAAAATGATCGAATTGACGAGGAAATTGGGATTTAGATGTTTCCGAAGCTGCTCTATCCAATGTCAATAGTTACTATGCTCAAAAAATCACGAAACTGGGTTTTGAAATGTTTCAGAATACAAGTGCAAAAGTCCAAGTTCGACCAATTTTCTACAATGAAGATTTGTGTGAATAATAAATTTGTGGTAAAATCAAGTCATAGCAGAACTGCTACTCCATTCGTACAAACTCAAGGCATTACTGATTATCTGCAGAATCAGATCGCCAGATGTGAGAAATAATGTGGCAAAATGTCGCAGCTTGTAACAGAAGAGACAAATTGAGCCCTAATAGATAAGGCATATGCGAAAGTCTTGGCGTGATAATTGACTAAATGGCTCCAAACAGCGTATAGGTTACAACCTCTATAGGTATGATTGCGGCTGTCTTGCCTAAAGCAAATGGTCATATCGTTGAAAATGCCCGAGGGGGGATCACTGATGAACTCACATTCGCAATTTTGTTTCTGACATTTTCCATATTGAAGAGAATTAATGTCTAGATTATATTGAAACTGCTTGAATACCAGTTTAGTGGCGAAGGGGAATTACTCCACTGACCTTCAGATTCGAATTTTATTTAAAAACCCAGTTTCAAGATTTTTTGAGCATAGCAACTATTGACATTGGATAGAGCAGCTTCGGTAACATCTAAATCTTAATTTTCTCATCAATTCGATCATTTTCTTTACTGAATTTAAATTTTGGAAATTTGAAATCTCTGTTTCAGCATCTCATCTCGGTTGCGAGAGCAAAATGCCCATGAAATTGTGATTTTAGGCGTGAAATATGGTGCAGTGTGTAACTGCGGAGGCGCGCATTTAACTTTACGGCTTGCTTCGGTACGGTAACTATTCGATTTAGGTTTTACTTCTATAATCTTGTGTTTTCTGTTATGTCAAAACGAGAAAGTACTTGCCATAGGTACTGGTGACAAGTCAAAGCTCTGTTAGTACTGCACCAGCCGAGGAGTCAAACTGATCCTGCTTGCTTTGCAGAAAAGTTGAGTCCGGTAGGCAATCTCTATGCGATTCTTGTCCTACTCTGCAATTACACCATCAGCAACGTCCTTTGAAAATCGTGTTATATCTCTGCAATCGATTTTATCACAGAACAGGCCCAATCACCGTGACATTCACACTTGTTTACTCTGCTGTTGTGCTGGGCACGCTCTGTGTTATCAAAATTACAGAAAGAGGCAGTTTTCTCTAAAGATTACACGCCTCCTTCCTTTATTCCGATTCTTCTAGGATCAAAAGTCAGGCGCATCCCATCAGGGAATCGTTCGAGAAATCTTGTACTTACGTTTTTTGACGATCCTCAAGGTTTTCCTTTCAAATGTTAGGCATAAGACTGTCAAATTGTTATCTTTATAACGTGTTTATTTGCCTTTGTCATTCTTTGATCTGTGACAAATGCTCTCCTCATTAGAAGAATATCGTATCAAAAATGGAGTCTGAATCCTGTCAATAAGTCACTTGCACTGTAAGTAGTGCAACGAGTGCAACTTCAAGATGTCTTTGATGTTTTACATTTTTCATTGAGTCGATATTTGTGCGGTCCTTACTCTGATTAGATTCTGTTCACTCGTGATCATTCGTTTCACGAGACCTCTGTCCTTAGAATCTCCAGACAGAAGCGGTCTTCCTGGAAGTGATTTTTCAGTGCATAGTTTCTCATACCGAATTCATTGAGTCTCAGCAATTTGTCTTCATTCGTCAGCCACACCTAGTCTCATTTTTCTCACAGAATTGTTGTTTCGTCTTGCATCAGTCTCTTCGTAGAGATCTCCTCTGTTTCCTGCGTCATATTCACCCAATTTAACTAACTATCCGTCTACTGTTCCCTGACGTCATCAAGGCAAGATGCAGTTTCAGCGCTATGCAGAGGGTATCATTTTTTAAAATTAGTCGACTGCTATGGAAGTTCTCCACGTATAAGCAGATTAGAGCCAGTTCGTAATCTTTGACCGACGCTGATCCTTTTGCATCATCTTTCAGAACGTGATGCAAAACAACCAAGTGGTTTCTCCTCCTGACATCTAGATTGACTCTGAAGAATGGTGCTATTTTGTCATTTGGGACTAGACGCATTAAGGCCATGAATTTTACTCAGACTTGATCTATGGTGGTTATCCGACAGCTATCACAAACATCGAACTTCAATTAAACGATAACATCGCTTTGTGTACCGTCAGGACTGATCCAAACTGCGCACGCCAAAACGCTTGTACTACCCTAATTTCACGCGTATAAGACGTACTTTGTCGAATTTTCAAGCGAGCCACTCAGCCGCTTCACTGTATTCTAGAAAGAAATCCTTACATCGCACGATTCTCTCTAGCAATATACAGTACGTTAAGGGTCCTTTGGTTGTAAAGTTTGGCTTGTCTGGGCTGGTCGATTTTGAAAAAAAAATCCCCCTCATCTTATACGCGTGAAATTAGGGTAGTACAAAACGCATAGATACTATTCGTGCAATCGTGATCAGCCGCGCCGAGCGTGCTTCGCAATTTACGGCCAGTTCGTGCGGTCAAAGACTCGACGGCATATATAGGCGGGTTGTCGCATGCGAAGACGGACGAATCCGCCTGAGATAGTTCTTGTTCGGAGGAGGCAGCAGATGGTAGGAGAAAGGAGAGAGCGCTTGATTGGGGAGACGCAGACGGTGTCCGCAGTAATGGCAGGTCTTCATGTGCGGTGAACGCCTGTACATCCTAGTTTGCCCCATTCGGAGTATGTACAATGTTTAACGGTAGTGAATCGGTAGTGAATCATAACAGGAAAGCAAAGCTTCATGTACAAAGAGAATTTTGGGAGTGCAAAAGGCTTTTGGTACTGCCTCTCTGTATATAAAACAGTATGCCATCATTAATCATTATCAGCCTTCTAACGAATAATCCTCCACTGGTAACGCTTATTCTCTACAAACTCGTTGTGAGGCTTCATTATCTTTAGCGCTCCTGCACGCTACCAAAGTCCTGCCTCCTTTTTATGAGTCTTTTATGTTCCCGTATTGTTGGAGAAAACATTGAAGAATGGGATTGAGATGGAAGGCCCAGTTTTGCACGCATGGATATTTACATCGGCTCTGGATTGGCATTCATGGAAAACACTTACTGGGATTCGTTTATCAGCTTCTTTAGTCTGGAGCCGCGTCAAATCGACGCTCGTTTAATCAACAAGTGATTGGCTTCCACTTCGTCACAGTTACGACTTTTAGTCAGTCTTCTATTCTTTTATGTGGATTCGCTAGCTATTGTTTGTGGCTGCCTGCAAGTGTTCATTCCTGCTCCTATAGTGTTAGTTGATTTTTTTAAGGCTTTATTTTATGTTTCTTTCCATTTTATTACATTCGCATCTTCATTCTCTGTTAGTTTGTAATGCTCTTGGACATGTGTGAATGATCATTGTTTACCAGGCATCATTCCGTTTCCGCACTTTTTGTGAGTATTCGCCCTTATCGCGTTTCATATCAGTGAAAGTGAGTGTATCACTACGTCGAAGTTTTTGGTGCTCCTACATTCTTTACATGGTTTCGCAGAATTACTTACACTCTATCATATCGACGAATTTTCTCACAAAAGCTTCATAGACCTATATACAGTAGTGGATATGTGGACAATTGATGACTTTGTGTTGATTTGAAACTTCCGAGTCCGTTCATGCGTACTCCATTGACTGCCAAAAATAAACACGATGAAATTCACATCTGAGAGTGAGTGTTTGTGTGACATGTAGAAGAATAGTACGAAAATCGATCGCACGTTCCGTTTTTTTTTCCACCTAAAACGTGCGGGCGTTTTCGTTTCGTTCGCTCGCGCCAATATGAACGAGCTAGAAACACACACTCATACGCACACACATAGCCAGCCAGCTCCCAGCCTGCTTTGTCACGTGTCACGTGCGAAGGAATTCAGAACATGATAAGGTTTCGCTTTGTTATTCTTTGCGAATTCCTTCACCTTTGACTTCAAGGCACATCATCCTGTCCTAAGTTTGCTCTATCAAACACATCGGAACATCATCTTATTCTAGAAAATGAGGTCATAGCGGCACCACTCTGCCCTAAGAATGATCATTCAGCTTATTCTTGCAGTTCATGAATAATTGAGAACTTGGGACCAGCCTATTTTATAATAGTACATGCAAAACTTGTCGAGGTTTCTTCTATTTGATGTATCCTCGAGTCTTTGGTAACTTTTAGGTAGGTGCCAGAGTAAGCAAATATTTTGTTCAGCTTCGTTCAGCTGCAGAGGGCGCGCAGAATTAATGTCTGCTGCATAATCTCTACTGCTGCCCAGGCCTGCTTCAGCTGCAGGTCCCGCACAGAATCAACGTTAATTGTGCGCCTTTTGCAGCTGAACAAAATATTCGCTTACTCTGGCACCTACCTTAGTTTGTCTTAATATGTGAGTTGCACACTTTGCGCCTCAACCGACGACATCCCTACTTATTAACTCTTCAGAAAAACTTAGCGTAACAAATCGTAGAAATGGTTCTTTTAACTAGCACATGTCCAATTAACTCAAGAAAGACAAGGAAATAAGGGAGGCACTGGGAATGAGCAGATTGTAGTCTTAAAAGCCGTCAAGTAGCGCTCATGATTGTATATAACACGCATAATAATTTGCAAGTGACCGGAAGATAGGGTTGCAGGATGTTCGTTCTTGTTACGATCGCAGTTAAGCTCTGTATTCATTCGACTAGTCGTCATTTGATACCTGAATAGAATGTGCTTACTCATACTTCTAGCACGTTTAGACTCGTGCAACATTCCAATTTCTCTTTGAATTGCTGTTTATTGCTAGCCTCAGCATTGAATCGACACCAAATCTTGCATACTTTTCCTTCTGGATCTTTTCTGAGAAAATCCCGCATAATAGATATTATCGTGATGCTTTCATCTGCACTCTCTCAACTTCTTTGCTTCTCACGCCCTCATCGGACACCCTCACGTTTTCGATCCCTCGTCTTTCCCGCAAAACGACACGATTCGTGCATTTGCAGTACCTTGTTTTCCACTTTTCCACACACACCACACAGTGACAGTGACCTTAATGTGACCTTATCGACTCGCTCATTGCTCCGCATCTATTGATCTTCGCTACTTCTAATCGTACTTCTGTGCCGATACTGCTGCTATTGTGCCAAGCTTCATCATGTTCTATGTGCAAACTTCATCGTTACTGGGCGCATTGTACTCTAAAATGAAGCCACTTTGAATCTATGTAATGGTAGTGCACAATATTGGAGTGAAAATGTATGGTAGATGAAGAGCAGCGACGGCGGCGTCGGTGGCGAGGAGCAGCAGAGCCGGCACTGTTGTTTTGTTTCGCTATTGATTTCGGGAATCGCGTCGCTTGCGACATCGCTCGCTGCTGCATCTGCAAAACAAGCGATGTCGCTGCGCCGCTGCGTCGCGTCGTCGCGGTCGCACCCACGCCGCTGTCGTCGCCGCACACGTTGCTTTTATTTACCTCGCCCTACGATTGACGTCATTTTTCTGCTCGTCTGTGTACTTTTCTATCACGTGATGACGCACTATACGTTATCGATTTGTTTATACGGTTTTATGACTTGATACTAGCTAATAATCATTCCAGAACACATAATATTCTCATGGAGAGACAGTTATGATGATGAAACGACGAAAAGTCCGCGAAGCGAAAACGTTGTTTTCTGTTAGCGATTCTAAATCGCTTATGTTTCGATGTGATTCACGATTTCCATGTTATCGAAGGTATGCGATATTATTTGATTTCTTTTGCACCTTTATTGTTTTGTGCTTTGGATTAATTTTCGGTCTTCTCAAATTTTAACCTGTTGTTATTACGGTTTCCCTGTTGCATCCTACATTGCGTATGAAATAATCGGCTGCTTCGTCAATACTTCATCGAATTTGAATTGCAAGAATATGGTGCCACACGCTTTTGGCTAATATCAAATCTGTGACCTTTTCACCCTGCCAAAATTAGGGGACTCCTCATTGTAGATGCAAGTATTGAATCAGTTCAGTCACATCGTTCTGCCTTGCTCGACTTTTTCCTGAACCAAATTGGGTGGTATGTCGGAAAGAAAAATTGGAAAACGTATTACTTTTGTCGAATTCTCTGGGTTTGTTACCTTGTTCGCGGAACTCAAACTTACATTGCTGATGACATGTTTTGCGCGATTTTCACAATAGGCAAAAGTATATTTCGTAGCTGAAATTTGACTGCGAGTATGTTTACACTATAACTTGGTTTTTCTTCCTTTTGCAGCCCTATTCCTCTATGGTTTACGCTCCACTGCATCACATACTCGCGTTTGCTTGCACTGGATCTTGTAAAAAGGGGCAGAAATGAATAATAATTTTTTATAGTTGATGAAACAGTTGGTGAAGACCGTCGCCCTCATTACTACCTCGTTCCGCTTTTGTTGTGATGGCAAATTTCTCAAACACATTCTAGTATATCAGTCCGCAGATCTTTTGGAAGTTATCAGTGATCGTAGTTTACCAAAACATACATGCGTAGCTTTCGAGCTGGTTTCAGTAATCCTAGTTAGAGCGCCGTGGGTGCTGAAATCATATTCTCTTTCTGAAAATGCAAGGGTACTTCAGAAGAAACTGGAGGGTCTTTAATTTTTGGTTCACGTGATTTTCTATTTTATGCTATTTAACTTTTATTTTCAGACTTTTCACTGGAAACATGCTCATCTTGATCTCCATGTTTGTAGTATTTTTATGTGTGAGTTTGCATTTGATTTCTTTTCTTTGCCAGCATCTTCTTCTCTTTATTGGTCATCTCATACACTTTTCTAGGTTACTCTGTACGTCTCATACCACATTCCATTTATTCTGAGACTAGACTTTTGCCAAGCTTACCCGATTAGGAAACAAATATTCGAATCCTTACTATCCAGCAGACAAAATGGCAGTTTGTCTCATTAGAGTATTATGGATGAATTCTGCCTTTCATCAGTTCAAACAATGCATGTTTTCACTGTTTGACTGTATCATCATTTAACAACCCACAAAAGAACGGGGCTTCCCTTTTTCTTTGTTATATCTGCCAAACGACGAAAAACTGTTGTTGACATTGTGACTCGACAGATGAGAAAAAAAATGATTGAAGGGCAGAACAGTGTACGTAATTATTCTCGTACATGTTCACGTGTATAAATCACCTAGTTAGTGTCCGGCAGGTTTATTTTTGCGATATTCAAGTTATTGTAATTAATTCTACTTTCTTATTTCATTTCTGTCGTAGCATCCGCTCAACACCAGACGTCTTTATGCTTTGATGAGATTTTAAAAATATGGACACAGTGTCCTTGGATACCATTTGGCATTCCTCCAGTGATGTAATCGCCTGATTTTTCTAGCGTTTGAGTTTATGTGCAGTGTCCCAGCCAACAGCAATTCAAAAATTATGACGCGCTTCCGGTTGCAGCTGCTGACGTTATACCTTAATTTCGTAGTATCATGATTTCGGCTATATTCATCCCTTCAATCTCTGGCTGTAAAAAAAAGCCAAAGGGGTCGCTGATGTGGCACGAGCCATTAGCCAACCGGTCGGCTCCACTGATTATTCGGCCATTCGCGGCGAGAGTTGTGTTTAACTATGTAGGGCAGCCTTTTTGTCAGTACATTGGTATGACTATCAAGATTTGTGCTGCGAGTAAAATATTCCAAGTTGCGACAGTATTATCTGCCTATATGTTATAAAAGCGGCTTTTTTGTGAAAAACATCAGATTAATGGCACGTGATCAGATAAGAATGCCAATATGCAACAGTGTTAACGCGTTTAAGGCATTTATTGAATAATGTATTCACATTCTTGAAGTGCGGGTGAGATTATGGAACTTATTACCTTTATACTGAGTGGAACTCGTTCCCTATACGATACTTGGAGGTAGAATCTATGTATCTTTGTGGGGGCTAGTGTAAGAGCGAAAGGAAAAGTATTGGTTTTGTGTGCGCGTAGGGCAAAGTTCTGAACTTATTGAAAGCCACTCAAGGGCACTATATCAAAAATAGAGGCACTATAGAAAACCTTGATTTATTGACATTCATCATGAAATAAACTATTTTTAGATGTGATTTTGAAACTTTGGTATCTTTAGAAAATAGATCGGTTTGCTAAAGCGAGTGCACTACGATATCATTCGGCTCTTCGTTTACTGTGTTAACAACGGGTTTGCTAGAAAAATGCATGCTACGACACTTGGCGAGAGTATTAAGGATTTTGGCTGGGATTCAAATTAACAGGAATTGTTGTATACAGGGTGTCTTTAAAAAATGTGCACACTGTTTGATCGCTGGTAACTCTCTTGCGTTGCTGTCTTTCATCGATTTCTCTATACTGTTCTGTAGAGCTGGCTTCAGCTTAGATTCACAGTATGAAGCAAATAACCGATCGCTCTTCATGACTGTGTGATTACGATGGGAACTTTCAGCATACAAATCCATTGAGAGATACGCCGTTTGCAGAACTGTTTTCCAGAAATCTGAAAAATTGTGTATGAAGGTTTTCACATATGCTGGTATCATCATACAACTTTTTACGGTTTTTTTGGGCTTTAACAATGGTGTGATCACATTTCTGATGAACACTGAAGCAGTTGTTACGGTTTACCTGGAGTAGCTAAGGAAAGAAGCCAATAAAGTGCGAATCTCGTATTCGAAATCAGAGACTTTGATTAGCCTGATATAAGAGTTTTTATCTTATTTAATTTCCTTCCTGAGGCATAATATGGCTCAATGTAAACTTCCCATCGAAGTCAGGCAAAGTCATCCTACCGTAATCCTACAGTAATGAGAAACGGTGTGATTCTCTTCATACTGCAAATCTTAGTTGGAGCCAGCTCTACAGAATGTTACCCAAAGATCGACGTTGGATAATGCAAGAGAGTTATTAACGATCAAACAGTGTTTTTTTGGGACCTCTGTTTAGTCCAGCATCTAGGCGCCATGAATGTCTTATAATTGAAACGCTGTAAATTCATTTAACTGAGTTTATTTGTGGAGCGATTTTTAGCTCTAACTTCTTTTAAAAATTATCATTTTCTCCCCGTATTATTGTTCACTTCCAATCAAATATGTATTTTCGATTACGTATCGCTTACCATGTTTAGGTGACCATCTCTGATGCATTACCTGAACGTCGATGCGGTACTCTAGATATTCGAAATCATCCGAGCAGAGGCTACAAGCTAGCCGGTCATAAATTCGTGTCAAATGCTCATGTGTAAGCATTCCACTGTAGGGATTGAGATTATAGATTGCATGCATTTGTGTTGATTTAGGAACTGCAGCGTGATGGAGGGATCATTTATAATGTCGCTGATACAGAATTCAAACGTAACGGAAGCTGATTTTCCCGTATTCCAACATTTACGTGAAATCACTGGCTCACTGTTGGTTTTTCATGTTAGGTGGGTTTCGTGTTCTTTTGCAGTAGTTTTTCCACTTGCCCAAAACATACTAAATTTCTCCTGCCCTAATTGTGTCGGCTCAGTGAAACTCCCAGTCAGAGGTGCGATAGGGGGAGCCGGGTCCCCCAAAAGTGAAGGTGGTTTCAGCTACCACTGGCCGGCCAAAAGTGAAGGTGGTAGTGTCGGACACTCACCTCCCAAAAACGTCGACGGGGGGGGGGGGGGGGGGAGGTGCGGGGGGAGGATAGAACGGACGAACGGAGCTATCTTTCTAGGTCTAACGTCGACCCAACGGCCCTCTTTAGGGCCACAGATACGATGAATATTAAAAATATCTATAAATTTTATTTATAAAAATTTAAAATAGACGTGTTTAGTAAATGGTGTATTTGGAAGTAGAAGTTTGTTGGACTGTACGGATTTTATTAAGCAAATTTTGTTATAACGTACAGCGAAGAAAGTAGATCGATCCAGGCAGTAACGGCCGAGAACCAGAATTTTGAATATTTGAATAGTGAAAAATCATGCGAAATTTCCACTGTTATAAATCTGTTGTTTGAAGATGTCAGCAGTTGCGACTTCATAGGTTTTGAAGAGTAGATGTTGCTCTATCAGCTAGTGAAGGAATCGGGTCGATTTAAGAGATAGTCGTTGAAAACCAGAGTTCTAAAACTTTTTGCCATTTTTGCGTGTTTTTTGACTTTTGAGAGTTAAACTCTTATAAATCTTGAATGCGGAAGTGTATGATGTTGCGACTTCATAGGTTTTATAGAGTAAGGTTTGCCTTATCAGAATATGTCTTGTCCGTTCCGATCCATTGAAACATCTCCGAGATCCAGGCTCTTGAAAAAGCAGGTAAAAAACAGCTTTTTGAACTTCAACAGCTCGTAACTTCTTCAGAACTGCATGAATCATGTTGCGACATATCATATATCATCTGAAAGCTCTTGATGAGAAGAATCTAACCTATGAAGTCGCAACATGATTCATGCAGTTCTGAAGAAGTTACGAGCTGTTGAAGTTCAAAAAGCTGTTTTTTACCTGCTTTTTCAAGAGCCTGGATCTCGGAGATGTTTCAATGGATCGGAACGGACAAGACATATTCTGATAAGGCAAACCTTACTCTATAAAACCTATGAAGTCGCAACATCATACACTTCCGCATTCAAGATTTATAAGAGTTTAACTCTCAAAAGTCAAAAAACACGCAAAAATGGCAAAAAGTTTTAGAACTCTGGTTTTCAACGACTATCTCTTAAATCGACCCGATTCCTTCACTAGCTGATAGAGCAACATCTACTCTTCAAAACCTATGAAGTCGCAACTGCTGACATCTTCAAACAACAGATTTATAACAGTGGAAATTTCGCATGATTTTTCACTATTCAAATATTCAAAATTCTGGTTCTCGGCCGTTACTGCCTGGATCGACCTACTTCCTTCGCTATACGTTATAACATAATTTGCTTAATAAAATCCGTACAGTTTTGCTAAGCTTTACTTCCAAATACACCATTTACTAAAAACCTTTATTTTAAATATATATGCCGCCGTATACATAAATATATGCTTTCAATAATCTTTTTTGCGTTTGTTTTGCTTATTTTCCTTCTTTGTCGTCCAGCGAAAAATTTTTTATTCCAAAAGTGAAGGTGGTCACCCCGTACCAGCTCAAAAGTGAAGGTAGGGGGAGACTTGGCTCCCCCTATCGCACCTCTGCTCCCAGTGCTACGTACTTTGTTTATTAATCCATTTAGGAAGTTGTCGACGTTGTCAAGGGTCTTTCCCAACTTGAGGATAATCGGAGGGCAAAATCTGATCCAGCATTTTTCTCTGATTATCTATCAAAACGAGGATTTGATGGATGTAAGTGTTTGAAATCTTCTGTTTTATATGTTTTATCCATATTAAGATGAAATGATGATCTCAATTTTTATGCGCTAAATAATTCTGCTTATCATCAATGCTGCAATCATGGTGAGGTTTTTTTCAGATTGGTCTTTCCAGTCTACGTCTTATTCGAAATGGTGGAGTGCGAATTGCCGAGAATAATAAAATGTGTTATTCTCGATATATTGACTGGAAACATATCATGGCTGGACCTTTGAACGATATATTGGTAGACGATGCGGTCGAAATTGGAGTCGGAGAAGGGAAAATCTGTAAGTGGAAAATTTTACTTTCGCAAACTTTGACTAGACTCATTTCCATCATTACTGTATGAATCTTACCTCCACACTATCATATTTCTGGTCCTGTAGCATCACCATGTTATCATGTTCCTTGTTCCATGCCATGAATCATGCAGTAAAGTCATTGCTCCTTACATTTATTTGTTTGTGGTATACATAATCTCTAAGCAGAGACTTAGTGCTTGTCTTTTCTCTCCTATTCGTCACCGAACTATAAGCCGCAGATTTGCATGTAAACGCTGAATCAAAATTGCTTCTCATATGATGGGTTTTCACTATTTCAGCAGTATCTCTTCCTATAATCTGCTTTCTTTTACAAAAACCGCATTGGCAATCTTATCTTTGAATTCCTTACTCATTGCTTTGCTTTCGCTTTTGAAAGTCAAGTGTCAGTAATTTAGTGTCATGCACGGATGATTGCGAAGTGGAGGATGAGTCAAAATGTCGCCATGTAACACATTCTCGTGGAGAGCAGCTATCATGTTGGAATAAGAACACATGTCAAGAGGGTACGTTCTTATTCATGTTTGAGGAAATGAACGTGTGTTCTGCCAGATTCTATCATGTTTATGTTTTCACAAAGATTGAGAGCTACGAGTAACTGGTTCAGAAAAATGAAACACAGTTATAACATCATTCATCCTGTAAGGTTAGGTCTCTGCGAAAATTTATTTTCATCATTGCAGAGGGCCAGAGTCATTCATCAGTCACAATTCAATAAAGATGTGATTTTGTGGACGATTGTAGTGATTGGCGCATGTTCCAATTTTAGATTGCCCTTACGAGCGCATCAATGGAAGTCTCGGACCCGGGTGTGCGGATTCAAATGGAGCAAAATGTCATGAGCAGTGTGTAGCCGGATGTACAGTTCCCAATGATGACAAAGCGTGTTATGGTTGTTTGCACTATAACCATGACGTGAGTTAATATCCTTACTATTTTTGGATATCGTTTCTATAGTAACTTCTCTCGCTTATTTGCTGTGATTGAATGATGAATACTGAGGGGTTTTGCAAACGATAAAAACATAAGCTTATGCTTGAGGTTTCTCTGTTGTTGTTAGGGTACTGTATGCTTTACGTCATTTCTTTTTTCATTGGATTAGCTTGTTTATGTATGTGTTCATGCTTGATTGTTCAGGGAGCGTGCGTAGAGAAATGTCCAAAAGTCTTATTCACTTATCTCAACCGACGATGTATCACTGAAGCTGAGTGCGATGCGTAAGTTTTCGGTATCTTGTTCGTTTGAATTGTGCTCGAAATGGCTTGAGAAAATCACTGAGTTGAGTTGAGAGGAATAGCAGGAACAAAACACTGTTGTGGTTTTATTTGATCCTATCTCTTGAAGAATCTTTTCCGATCTTGTTGTTGCTCATACTGTATAAAATATTAAGTTTAGAATGATAAAGATTATTTCGTTTTCAGAATGTCACCACTACATGGAGGGAAAGATGTCTACAAACCCGCCAACGGCATATGCTCAACAATTTGTCCAGAAGGCCTTGAAGAAGGTTGGAGGAATTATATTTATGTTTAGCAATTGGTGACGTTCCGTTATTTAGATCCCAGCAATAGGAAACGATGTCGAAAATGTGTTGGCGAATGTATACGGAAGTGTCCAGGAAACATCACTGTGGACAGCATGTCTAAGGTAAACAGTGTATTTTTTCTCTCTGAAGTTTAGCTTTCTCTTATTATTAAGGGTTGTCGAGAAATTCATGTACAAACCTTCGTTTTGAATCTGAGAGAAATCCTTGGTTATCATTTTATATCTACAGGCCATGCAGCTGAAGCACTGTAGTATTATCGAAGGCTACTTAGAAGTAGAGATGCGTGTCGGAATGAGCACTGTTGCTGCGTCACAGCTGACCGAAGTTTTCGGAAAGATCACCACTATTGACGGGTAGGAAGCTCTTGAGAATTTTTTTTGCCTTATTATGCGTATCCTTTTCACTTTAAATAGGCTTTGCACTAGCTCGACAATTTTCAGATATTTTGTTGTTCGATTGTCACCGTCTTTTGTAAATCTGCACATGTTTCGTAGTTTGATCAGGATTACGGGAAGATCACTATATCGTGATAAGTAAGTGTAGTTCTGAAATTATGTTATATATCTAACTGCTTTGTTCCAGATATGCACTGAGTATCTTCGAAAATTCAAACTTGCAGAAATTATTTCCTCCAGATAATAATCTTGTCATCGATACCGGTTCTGTGCAGGTAATGTGCATTGCACACTCCACTCGTTTTCCACTTTGTGCACATTTGTTATATTGTCTTTTTTCTCTTCGTGTCGTTTGCCAGCTGTTTTCATTGAAAATCATTTTAGTTCCAAAACAACCGGATGCTGTGCTATTTCCGCATCAAAGATCTAATGACGAAACTCGGACGACAACAGGAGTTGGCAGAAGAGGATCAAAGTCTTAGCTACTATAGTAACGGGGATAAGGCTATCTGTGAGTCATTTAACGATTTTTTTTATGAAAAAAGGATCTGAATTTCCGATACTGAGATGAATCACATTAAAAAAGCTTTTGATTTTGAAATAATGGGCACGGGGCCAAAGTCATTTCCCGTTGATTTGATGAGCCCTTGTAAGCTAAGGGCGTATGCAATCGTTTAGCCGTTTGTTTTATTTTTATCTGATTGAGTTTTTTGCTGGTAAGCTTTTTTTTTGAGATGACAATACTATGACAAGAAAGCTATACATCCGGTATAGTTCTAATTGTAAGGCCCGAAACCGGTTGTGTGTAAACGCTATATATATATATTTCTAAGTTTGCATCTTGTCTTCTAGCTCAAGTAGTAATTAGATATAATAACTTCCTTTGTTTCATATGAGACCAATTGGGATATATTCTTTACCATCTGTGAAGACTCAGAGGTTGTGCACTGTGTTTATAATCGGAAATTCTATTTAAAATTTTACTCAGGGTAGATTAGGAGGAAGCAGCGAATAATTCTACTTTCAGGTGAGGAATCCTCCTTCAATCTCACCGTCGTGGATAGTGCGGTGTCGCAAACTGCGTTTACACTGCGCTGGCCTGCACTCAACACTACGGACATGGATCAAAGAAAATTCCTTGGATATGATGTGAGTCGGATTTTTTGTCTTCGTAAATACTTCATGCTATTTCAAGTTTTTTTGTTGAATGAATTGCCATGTGGGTATGTATGAAAAAGAGGCGCAGTTACAAAACGAAAGCAGCTTTCGAATAAATATGGATACTTGCTAAACATCACACCATTGCATATCTTTGGTTTTCTGGTATGCAATGTAGCGCTATTTTTTTTTCATATCAGATCCTCTATAAGGAAGTCGAATGGGAAGATCCTAATCTTTCGATTGATGACGATAGGTCTTCCTGCCAAGATACGGATTCATGGTTCTACCACTTTGAGGGGGTAAGCTGCTATTACTATGGCATACCGTGACGCATACTTCTGATTGTCAAATTAAGGTGAACGACAATGTAGAAAGAATCAACGGAACTGGACCCGAGTACGTTACAGCTATGATTGGAAACAGTCACATCAAACCGCATACCTTGTAAGTTGATGAGTATGATATAGTTGGAATTATGTGTCGCAGTGCAAAGAAGCTTTTTCTATAGATACGCAGCGTACGTCACGACGAAGATGGTGCGACATCAAGGTGCGCGAAGTGCAGTGTCCAACATAGCTTTCGTGCGAACACGTTTTGCCGTACCCGATCCACCGCGTTTGACGAAGGCCGAAGCATTAGGAACTGACGAGATTCTGTGAGTCCTCAATGCGCTCGAATTTGACGAGCTTGTAAACCGGTCGCCGAATGCTTCCGCAAACTTCTCGAAGGCCTCATAGTCAACGACCAGTGCATTGATGTTCAGTTCTATTGCTGATTATGCGCTCCATTGCATCGTCACTGGATTATGACAACATATTTATGCCGTTGTTCATTTCCGATTTGAAACGTGATTCTGCAAGTGAATCGTGCTAGCGCAGCAAGACGACCTAGGCGTTGAGAGAACACCAGACTGGACAAAGTTCAGTAAAAAGTAGCACATGCACTAGATGCCGCGAGGGCGCATTATTGTGAGGAGGGGTTGTTATGATTACGAGAATCGGGGACTGTCGTGGAGTCGCTCTTAAGCATCTTACCTCACGCGTAGACGTGGTATCAAATTCCTTACTTTCATCGATTTCAAGGTATAGGTAGATTTTCAAAGAGATATATGAGTTGCTTAAATTAATTTTTTATTTTTTGATTTCTCAATCTCAGTACGGCCGTTGTGACTTGCAGGTTGGAATGGGATCCGCCTCTACAACCGAATGGCGACATCTCACACTACGTGGTTAGCTGGAGAGCGATGGACGATGTGCATATGAATCAGAACATGGGCGCTGCTGTTTGTTACGATGGTAAGTGGGAATTCATACAAATAATTGTAATGTGATTGTTCACGCATTTTTTTGTAGATGTGGCCAGAAGCAGCTTGGATATATCGCTTGGAGCAGCCGATGGCCTGCTTGAGCCATCGTCCACACCTGCTCCTAAAGTGACATCAATGCTGATGGGCGCAGCGAGTGCAGGAAAAGATACTTGCCCGAGAAGTGAAGGATGTTGTAAATGTCCACCGAAGGTGATTTGGAAAGTAGGCACAAAATGTTCGAAAATGGTGAGAAGTTCTTTTAGGCACTATCCACCGATGCTGATGAAAACATTGAGTCGCAGACCGAGTTCGAAAATGCTGTACATAATGTAGTTTTCGTACAAAAGTGGGTTTTGTCTGTTTACTTCTAGTAGTTTCCCCTTTTTTATTTTCCATTTTGGTTTTTTCTCTTGTTTTGAAAAAATAGGCTGGGATAATAGAGAACATCAATAAGAACATGGTTTCAAGCTGGATATAATAACCGCTCAAAAACTGGAATTCTTATGCGTACTGCGGATCATCTGCATCACTGTTCCTTCGATCTCATGAAACGAGCGAGTATCAGTTACGTTTCCATTCTTCTCTCAGTGGTGAATAAACAGATTTTTGAATGGCAACGGCGGTCATCCTCCATTGCATCTGAGCTAAGAGGTGGCCGTCCCATCGAGCGTGAAAGGTCCAACCTAATCCTCGGATTCATATTCGCTAGCTTGAGCAATCTGTTTTTCTCATATACATCATCAAACTGGGCGAGCGTTCGTCACGTTTGCGTGAGATCAGTGCGATGTTTTCAGCAAAAAAAGGTTTTTGTGGATGCCAGTCGTTTTCTGCTCTGGTGTCACATATGGCGTTATAGGGGCTATGGGCATACCTCTCGCGATTTTAGTCGCCATGCGATTTGGCCATTTGCTAGATCTATATAAACCCAACACTCACAGCCCACAAATATTTGGCGTATCTAACTTTAGTGAGTCGAAAATGTGCTAGTTTCCATGTGCTCAAATTGAGTTGCGACGAGCCATAAGCAATCGGAGTATCGCCAATTCGTGTCGCGACTAAAACGCGTGAGGTATGTTCGGGGCTTTAGGGGGCGCTGAATAGCTTTGGCGATGGTATCGCCTTGCCGTTCGGCAAGGTAATACCATCGCCAAAGCAATACTCGCCTAACCTGTCTTCATTCGGTTTTTCTCGCTTCCATTTCATGGCTTTGCTGGCTCGGATGGAGTAGAGGTGGTATAGCTCATTTATAAAATCGTGACGACGGATTTGACTGCGGACTTTGCGCCCACGGGAGCATAAAACGCTCATACAAGAAGACGTCACATCAACGCTCAGCTCAGTCACTTCCATTGTCTTGATACCATCATACTTAAGTAAAAAACCGTTCGACTGGAGATGAAAACCAAGGAAATGCTGTTTCCGGAAGCGGCGTGCGTATAGCGCGCGGTGGCGCCATTGTCACGACTTTCCGAACGCCCTATACGTAACATATATTTTCTCGTCCTTGTTCAGCCCAGTCGTGGATTAGCAGGACATCCTTTAGTGCTCTATCGTTGACATATCTCGTGGGGAGTTAGATTTCGAGAGAATGGATCCCAGGCAAAAGTGGTCCTGGGACAGCTTTGGACATATCGGCTCACTTTTCTTGCCATGAAATAGGACACAGCAGAAGTAGCGATGTTTCAATCCTTTGATAAGCCATAAAAAGCTGGAGCAACTACTTACGCAAAAAGTATCGACTATCGACTTTTCTGGTATGTCATGTTCCCAGAAACAGTTCTCTTCAGAACGTGAAATTTGGCTTCTAGCAGGTCATGTCTCATTGTTTTGGTCAGTCCAAGATTTCGATGCGGACAAAAAGTTCGTCTGCTTGTACGACTTGCTCAAGAAGAGGGTGGGGACTTGCATTCATTGTAGCCCTTCATTTTCAACCTGGCCACGCATATGGCTCCTGCAGGATTCCAGCTCAGCCAGATTGTTACAATTTATTTCAGTTTATCTGCTTTTAGAGTTTTAAACATCCTTGTACAATTTTTTTGGTTTACTAAAGATAGCAGCCCAGCCTTTTGTCTTCTTCCTGATATGTGCTCTTATTTGGCTGCTCCTACAGCATATTTGCAAATTAATGACCTTTCTTACTCACATATGTAGTTTGTGACGTTCGCTTTCAGCTGGATATCGTTCTGGATTTTGGAACCTAAATCTAGCCCTTTTTCCGAAATAGGCCATTGTAGCTAGATGTGCTGATTTAGTTGTGCGCATAGTCATGATCCAGTGCGATGTGGTGGAGGAAACGATGACGAAGATAGCACAGTCGAGGATGACGACAATGAAATGCATTCGACTGAAAACCATAGAAGTAGCCGCCTGCGTCGCACTTTACCCCATCGTCTGCGTCGCTTCAATGGCGCGAAACGCTTCATGTAGGGTTGCTATGTGCATGCAAAGTTGTGAATATTTGGTGTTTGTGAAGTAGTTCGCACATGTTGACTCGAGAAAATTAGCACAGGTACTGGTAGCATCTGCCCACCCTATCTATCCCTCCTAAAATACTATGATTTTCATTTCTAAGCCATTTTCGAAGTTTCCAAACAAGCTTTCTATTTTCAGCCAGCTAGCACGCCAACGTAGAGCTATAACACAATCACCACCCATTCAATCGAAAAATGCTGCACTGAACAAGACCAAGAAAGCGAAGAACAATGTGAAAAAGGAAGATGTAAGCAAGTTTTAATGGCTTATAAGGGTCAGTGCAAGAGGTTTCGTTGCAGCTCTCGAAGTTGTTGGATTCTGTGAAAAGCAATGCACTTACGGCCAACGTTAGTGCAACTTCATACGTAATCAAAGGCCTGAAGCATTATACGCGCTACTTTGTAAGTTTTTATCTGGAGCTACTTTTCCGGTTGGTTTCAAGACTTTATAAGTGATGTATGATCTAGATCCAAATCACCGTATGCCAAGATCCAACTGCCCCCGAAACTCACTGTTCCACAAGAAGAGCCTGGCAGTATGTGAGAACCAAACCCATTGGTGAGTTGCAGCTTATAATTTTTTTGTCTTGACGTAATATGAATATCTTGTGTGGAGTTCCCCTAGCGCGTTAATTGTGCTCGCTAAGTACTTGAAAATAGTTTCGATTACTTCAGTCTCTTTGATTTTTAGAACGATATCAGTAAGAAATGATTCCGGGATGTAGACACCAAATCATAAGTATGTCATGTGTGTTGAAGCGAAAAAAAACTGTAGAAAGTTGTGAAATAGATTTTCCGCAAAGTTGTTCGTGTTGTTCGTTCGCAGTCATTCATTGTCGCAGAAAAATCTTGTTCCAGTAGCTGACTCTTCTCCATGTTATTTTTTAGAGCATTGCACCGTGTTCTAATTTATCAAGTTTTTCTTTAGTGGATGCTGATCGCGTGGACAATACGACTATTAACGTGGAGGTACTGAATGGAACTTCTGATATACGAATCACTTGGAAGAATCCCGTCGATCCCAATGGACTGATTGTAGCGTACAAAGTGAAGGTTATCAACACTGCAAAGCAGTCGGTCAGTTTTCTTTCCTGCATTATGTGGGCGTCACTTGTCCCCAATATTTTTATCTGCTGTTCCGATTTCATTTGCATGTTTTAGACTCCTGTCGACCAATGCATTCCTGTATCATCTGAATGGAATCCGGCAGTGAATGGTGCTGTATTCGAAGGTCTGAATGATGGGGATTATCGGTTAGTTTCGAACCGGTAAACGCAGTTGTTGTTCTGTGTATTTCCACTTTTTCGTCTTCCATATTTTCTAATAATTTATTTTCATTTTTTACAGTTCCGTCTCTTTTTTCACAGTTTTGTTGCCTCTAGTCATCTTGTCGCTTGGGATATGTAACCAAAGCGTGTTTTAGAGTTGAGCTTCGTACAGTATCTCTAGCTGGTATCTCCCAACCTGCTTATGCTGAGGAACTGTTCCAAGTCTATACACCGGGATTCTGGACTGTGAAGGTTTGTTCTACTTATGCTTGTGAAATGTCGTGGGAAATCCCAACTCTTTTATAGAATATACTGCTCATGCTGTTCATCTTTCTCCTCTTTGCCATAATAGTCGGTATTGTTGGCTACTTCTTTGTGAAAAAGTACTATTCACAAAAAGTAAAGGAATATGCTACTCAACTCATCTCAGCAAATCCGGAATACTTGTCACAGGTATGTGTAGGTACATTTTTGGGCTGTTGGCAGTACCTTTCAACTTCCTCAGGCTGATGTCTACAAACCTGATGAATGGGAGCTGAATAGGTCAGATCTTACTCTAGAGTGTGAGATTGGCAGGGGAACGTTTGGAAAGGTGAGTCTTCATTGTTCTCACTCAATGCAGCAGGTTCAATTTGACATCTTGAGGTCTATCGTGGTTACGGCAATAATGTCCTTTCTAAATGTGGAGATACCTTTGGTGTTTGTGCCATCAAGACTGTAACAGAATCGGCAAACTCTGCGGAACGGCTGCATTTCTTACTGGGTAAGTATAGTATCTTGTTTATCTTTGAAAAGTCGGCAACCATTGAGCCGGATCTTGGAACAAAGTCGAATTTGATCTGTACTGCTGTTGGGCTGGCGGATGGAGGCTACACGCGCAAGTACACACACTCTTGCTTTTGCTGTTAGGCATTTATTGAATTGAAGATTTTTGTGTTTATGTAGAACTGGCGTAACTAGCAAGGTCCAAACTTGAGAGAAACGAGTCAAAAATTTGCGTGTGCATCGTCATCAGCATGCCTTAGGCTCCCAGACTGCCGAGAAGGCGGAGTCGGTCGAGCGTACCAGCGATGCGGCTGTCCAGTGTTAGAGTATAGCTGATAAATTAATTGTCGATTGACCAGTCTGGGAGGCGATGCTATAGTTGAGTAGTTTTCCGTTTAGTAAAGTGTACTTGCGGTGGCGAGGTAGCAAAATGCTACGCCCGTAATGTCGGTTACTTGCGCAAATGCCGGCATTGCTGGCATAGTTATATGTTCACGCGCACTACTGAACCATCTCGGCACCGCAAACACACTCTTCATTAAGCGGAAATCTACTTGACTGTTACTCGTGTGATTATCTCTGTGCGCGGGTGTAATCAGAAAATTACTACTTTGTGGTGGATTGTTTTCGTCTGGTTCGCATTGATTTTGCTGTAATTCATTTACGGATTTCTCGAATTGTAGTTGGAGAAGATCACCGAACATAGATCATCTTGTACAATCTTGTAGAGATCTTTCTCCTCTTCACGCGTGACAATCTTATTTCAGAGGCGAACGTGATGAAATCGTTCTCGGCTGAGGCGTTTATAGTCAAGCTATATGGAGTGGTTTCGGATGGACAGCCTGTGCTGGTAGTGATGGAAATGATGGAAAAGGTGAACTTGGGATGAATCTGTTGGCTTGTTATTAGGTACAATTTCTATTTTAAGGGTAATCTCCGGGACTATCTGCGTTCGAGACGACCTGGCGCTGAAGAAAACATTGAGAATTTGCCAGTACCCACTTCTGCTGAGTATTACGAATGGGCAGCACAAATAGCTGATGGCATGGGATATTTGGAATCGATTCGCTTCTGTCACAGAGATTTGGCTGCAAGAAATTGCATGGTACATTATAACCATATGACTACCTATCACGCACCTCAAAGTGTGTTTTTAGGTCGACGTCAATAATGTGGTAAAGATCGGAGATTTTGGCATGGCTCGAGACATTTACTATCATGAGTACTACAAACCAAATGGGAAGAGGCTTATGCCTGTTCGCTGGATGGCACCGGAGTCGCTGAAAGATGGAACATTCGACATGAAAAGCGACGTTTGGTACGTTCATGCTCCTGCATAGCTAGCCTGTATTAATCAGTTTGAAAAATTAATTTTTGAAGGTCCTACGGTATCGTGCTGTATGAAATGCTCACTCTCGGACAATTGCCATATCAGGGATTAGCGAACGAAGAAGTGCTATCCTTTATTGGCATCTCCAGAAAAATACTGGATCGTCCAATGGACTGCCCCGACTTCTGGTCAGTTTATTCATCATAAACTGGGAACTCTCATTTTTGTTCTCGGTAGTCTTTTTCGCTCATCATTTGCTTTACGTGCTACCGCCGCGCGCACGCTACGTAGACATCTCTGTCAAGCATTTGCTTATTTCTGCGTTTTCCTGCCTCCACCTGCCTTTTTGTCTTTCTTTGACTATGGATCATTGGAAATTTGACTTGAAAGGCTGTTTTGAGCGTTTCGAGCAGGGCGATCAGGCATTGCTTGTGCGCCGCGGAGATAATCAGGGAAAACTGGCGAGGATTCACACCTATATAATAGCCTCTTCTTACTGCGTTTTGCAGCAGTTAAGGCTCTTGCGCTACATATTAGGATATTCAACATCTAGAAAATTGGTTCAAAAGTTGCACCAATTCCTGAAAGGTTGAAGATTTTACTGCGTGGTGCAAACGAGCATCTGTGGGGAGGAAGGAAGTCCAGTGTCAATGCAACGCTTAAAATGTCTAGGTACGACCTAATGTGTCAATGTTGGCGATATGTAGCTCGAGATCGACCCACTTTCCGTCAAATTGTGCACCACCTCTTGCCATTCGCTAGCCCGCAGTTCCAAGAGGTAAATTGATACGGAAGCTTGTGCTTTTTGTATAAGCTTTTCCTCTAAAATGAAATTTTTTTGTGTAGGCTTCTTGGATCCTTAATCATCCAATCGCTGAATATCCATCAGACGCTGAACCGAACTACGTACCAGAAGGTCATGGGATACGTCCAGTAACAGCGAAGGAACCCGTTGATGAGGTGAGCTCGTTGTTGAATTTGGTTCTATTTCGGTTACATCTCTTCGTAGATTCGAGGCAATATCTTGTTGGGAAAATCAAGTGCTGGAAGTTTGAGAGCTTAATCTTGACTTTGCCTTCTAATCTAAACCTGTGACGATATTTTGCATATGCTAGTCGTTTTATACCTTAGTCATTCGCATGGTTCGCATTTCAGTGTGAAAGAAGATTGGACATTGTTTTTGAATCTCCCTGAGCTTTTGCAATCAATATTTCGCTCGTTTTTTCTAGGTCGAATATCGCATGACAAATCGCGCTGAAGGTGCAAAACCACGCTGGGGTGAAGGCGACTCTTTAGATACAGATTGTGACGCAGAAGACGAAGTGTGACATAACAGTCACACATCCTCGAAGAGGAGGATCATCACTTGAGGAAGAGTTGTCTCTCATCGTTCTCGATCATATACGTGTCACCTCAGCGGGTACAGTGTGTTTGTGTGTGTTGTCGTTGTAATAATTTGATTTATTTATTTGATCGTTGTTAATATTTGCAAAGATCTTATTAGTTAGTTATAGTGAGTTCAATCGTTACCATTAGCCCACCATATACAGTTCATAGAGCTCAATGCGCATTCATTTTCGAGCATATCTTTTTTGTCTCTCTCGCGCTTCATCCCCTTTGTTGTTGTTATCATAGTCATGTCAATATCAACACTTCATGATTCATCGTTACGACAAGACCCCATATATACATACTTTATACAAAGACTATATATCTCGTCAACTCTTTCCTCAGTCACCATTCTCCCTCTTCTGTCCACTGTCAACGATTCTAAAAAGCTAACTACGTCGCTTTCGTCACGTTACTGTATGTACACAACGGGTGTAAATAGAATACGCAGAGATATGGCAGGTGTTGAGAGTTTTGATTGTTTAGAGTCTATTTATTTTTTATAAGTATGGTCTAAATAACTCTCAGCGCTAGCCATGAATATCTATTTCAATCTATTTGAAAATACGAGCACTATATAGCATGTGGTGGGCGTGAAATGTTCATTCCATTAATGTTTTTTGAAGTTATTTCCTTGGTTCACATGTTGTTTTTTCTTTCGATTTTTCTCATCATCCAACACCTGCATACTCAATCATCTACCTTTTTTGTTTGGTTTAGACAGCACACATCATCTCAGCGCGTTATTGAGTTTTTCAGACGCATGTATAATGTTAGCCAGTAGCGTTCGTTGTGAGAGGGGCTCAGTTCTCCCCTTATAGGTTGGTGAGTTGTTCCACCTTGAAATCTGTATTCGACAGGATTCGGCTAACGTTAAATATGTATAGTATGCGTCGTTTGTTTTCAAAACGGGTTTGTACTAAAATTCACAGATTCTATGAAGACGACCCCACGTGGTCAGCCGCAATTTTCGTTGATGTTCATAGTCTCTCCCTTTTGTCTTTGTGTTAATGTTGCGTTCGCGCTCTCTCTCGCTCTTTGTCTCATCGCACGCTGTGTTGTTCACCTCCGGGACTGACTTCAAAGACTCGGGGCCATCCATATTACTTTCGTGTCGCGTACGTGTTGTTCATACGTCGGTGTTTCACACTTGTACATTTTTTTTACGTTATAAAAATCTTTATTGTATGGATGTTTTGAGTTTAGCAATAGGAATCATACCAACGGCACTCAAGAGAGTGTGGTTCAGGAAGAGGAAATAGTTTAGTCAAAGGCATTACTGCATTACCAACCCTCATGGTGCAGGAATGATGATTACCGCCAATATCGAGAACGATGGGCATCTCAAGTAGTATATTTCTCAGATGGTAATGGTTCTTTCCATCTCTGAAAGAAAGCCGGGTGATGGAAAAAATGTATGACATAAGTCCCCTCTGTTCCATTTCAAAGCTAACAAGCAGCCCACAAGCCGAGCAAAACGATATCGTGATTTAGTGAGTTGATTTTGGTGCGACGGAGGAAGTTAGCTTGCGGAATTTTCCGAAACAAGCTTTCTTGTGATTTTGACGAACGTGTCTAAGGGTAGTTTGAATGGACACGAAAACTGCTCCTATGAAAAATCAAGGCTGAGCAGCCGCTTGAGAAAAATTGATAGCACCTTGTTTCATCTCTGCCAAGCGTCAACCACATTACAAAACATAACTTCTTAAGTGGCAAGGTGCTGCAGTAACGACACACAATGACACGCTCACAATGCGGTATTTAAGCATGTCCGGTCTTGTCTTTAGGGCATTTTATCATTCGATCCCTAGTAACGCATCAAAAAAAAATCTCTCGAACCGTTACCGGTGCAACGAATTCGCTTTAGCACAATATTAAATCGGCATTTGGAAGTCACTGAGCAACTGAAGCAGAGGTGCGATAGTCGGAGCCGAGTCTCCGCCTACCTTCACTTTTGAGCTGGTACGGGGTGACCACTTTCACCGTATTATATCTGTGTAGTAGGTCGATCAGGCAGTACCCACCGAGAACCAGAATTTCAAATGATAAAATAGCGAAAAAGCATGCAAATTGTCCATTGTTATAAATCTGGTGGTTGAAGAAATCAGCAATTGCGACTTAGGTTTTGAAGGGCAAGTGCTGCTCTATCGTCGTCTCCCCGGTGTACGTTGGGCGGAGCTTTTGCGGACATTTCGGCACGTTGGTGTACTTGTTAACCTTCTACTACGAGGCATTGTTTTTTGTGATCTCTCGACCAACCCTGCCACGTGTGACAACAGCATATAAACGTGGCAGGTTAGAGAGTACAAAGCTCTTGAGTAGAGGCTTGACAAGTTTACCAGCGTGTTGAAATGTCCGCAAAAGCTCCGCCCAACGTACGCCGGGGAGACGACGATATCAGATTGTGAAAGAATTAGGTCGATTTGAGAAGTGGTCTCCGAGAACGAGAATTTTAAAAAATTAAGCGGTTTTAGGTCATTTAGTGAAAGCTAACGTTTAGACTCCTATTAATCTGGAGGGGTGTGCAATGTTGCGACTTCATAGGTTTTGTAGAGTAGGAATTGCTATATCGGACTATTTCTTAGCCGTATCGATCCATCGAGGTACCGCCGAGATTCAGGCTTTCAAAGAAACAGGAAAACCGCTTTTTGAATTTCAGCAGCTCATAACTTCTTTAGAATTGCACGAATCATGTTGTGACTTCATAGGTTGGATTCTCCTCTTCAAGAGCTTTCAGATGATATACAACATGTAAGGGGTTCAATAATTTTTGCGGCTCAGACTTTTCACCCCAAAGTCTCCACCTCGCCCACGTTAATGTATTGGGTGGAGACCGCCAGTGAAGACTTTAGGGTGAAAAGTCTCCACCCCGGGCATATGCCGTGAGAGGCGCGAAACCCCCACATATTATATGTCATCTGAAAGCTCTTGATGAGGAGAATCTACCTATGAAGTCGCAACACGATTCATATAGTTTTTAAGGAGTTATAAGCTGTTAAACTTCAAAAAGCGCTTCTTTACCTGTTTTTTTGAGAGCCTGAATCTCGGGGTATCTTGGGATCGGTACGGCTAAGACATAGTCCGATAGAGTAATTCTTTCAGATCTAACTCTACAAAACCTATGAAGTCGCAATTGCACACCTTCACATTCCAGATTTCTAGGAGTCTAAACGTCAGCCGTCACTAAGTGACCTATAGTCGCTTAATTTTTTACAATACTCGTTCGCGGCAACCACTGCTCAAATCGACCTAATTCTTTCACTATCTGGTAGAACAGCACTTGCCCTTCGAAACCTTTAAAGTCACAATCGCTGACATCTTCGACCATCAGATTCATAAGAGTGGAAATTTCGCATAATTTTTTGCTATATTATTCGAAATTTTGGTTCTCGTTACTGCCTAGATCGACCTACTTTCTTCACAGTACGTTATAACAAAACTAACTTAATAAAATACGTAAAATCTAGCTGATTTTTACTGACAAATACACCATTTGATTAACACGTTTGTTTCAAATATTGCCGCTGTACTCATCGTATTTAAAGTTCTAAAGAGGGCCGTTGGGTCACACTTGTTGGATCCAAAGAGCACTGGTTAGAGCTCTTGAAATTCATCAAGAAGCTTTGTTCTCCGAATTTGTGGGAAGTCATGCCAGGATGGCCTTCGGGTGTTCACAGCATGCTACGGCGAGTTCAAAAGTAAATTGAGCGAAAAATCTGTTTTCCTTATTTTTCATTTTTATTAGTCATTAAAATTTTTTCTTGCGAAAGTGATGTCGACCCCCCCCCCGTCGGCATAGATCTTCAACTCCCCCCCCCCCTGCCTCGGTCGAAGTTCTTGGGAGGTGAGTGTCCAGGGGCGGTATGCAACAATCGCCCGTCCGGGTAAGTTACCCGGCCAGGTAGTTTCCGCTTCATAGCTCGGTGCTCTGGGGATCTGTGTTCTTCCTTGTTTGTTCATCTTTGGGATGCTCTACTACCCTAATATTGTAGCACAATGATTAGCAGCACTTTGCTGTATAAGCTGAGATAATTCGTTATTTGTGTGATCTTGAACGGGATCTCCCACTGATCACGCTCATTTTCAAATTTATTTATATCCGCAAAAACTGAAAGAAAACGTCACATAGTTTTGCTTTCGATCTATTACGACAGTGCTACGCATGTTTTTAGTAGCACAGATGAAATGTGCAAGTTTTGAGTTTTTCGATAAAGCCCAATTCGTGAGCACAGGTTCAGCGAGGATTATGTCAACTTGATTTTTCACTTATTTCTTTCACAAACATGCGTAGCACTGTCGTAATAAATGGACAGCAAAACTCTGTGACGTTTTCCTTGAGTTTTTGCAGGATGTAAATAACTTTAAAAAAAGCGTGATCAGTGGGAGATCCCGTTCGGGACCATACAAATAACGAATTATCTCAGCTTATACAGCAAAGTGCTGCTAATCATTGTGCTACAATATTAGGGTAGTAGGGCCTCCCAAGATGAACAAACAAGGAAGAACACAGATCCTCATAGCACCGAGCTATAAAGCGGAAACTACCTGTCCGGGTAACTTACCCGGACGGGCGATTGTTGCATACCGCCCCAGCACTACCACCTTCACTTTTGCCGGCCAGTGGTAGCTGGGACCATCTTCACTTTTGGGGGGCCCTACTCCACCCATCGCACCTCTGATCTGAAGAATCGAGTACACGCTGAAAAGGACCAAATCAGTTGAGCGTAGAAGAGAATAGGGGAAGGACTGGTGGAAAAACTGTCCACCTTTTCAATCTGATACTTTGGTTCTGCAGAGTTTTTACAGTTGAAGTCAAGATTTAGGTTGCTTCCCTATAACACTCAGATTTGCGCGGGCGAGTTTGCTTGTAAAACAGTGGATCGGCATTTGGAAGACACTAAGGAGAACATGAGTAAATGCGATCAGACTCTAAATCGGGACAAAGTTCAGGTGAACTGAGAAGACGGGAAGAAGAAACTGCTGGAAAGAAGTGCTTTAGTTTGTTTTCTAATACTTGAGTGCTGCATATTCTTTCATAGCTCAAGAATTCAAGATTTAGGTTGCTTTCCAGCGTCACTCAGTATACAGGCGGGTTTGCACATAGCGCAGTCCAGAATCAGCATTAGAAAAAGGAAAGGAGGAATGACAAGGGAATAAGGATAGGAGGGGAAAGGTAATGAAAAAAAATTTCTGCACGTGCTGTCTGATCAGCAGAGTTACAAACGATAGCTACATTCCCTATCAATACAAGCTACATCGACAGGAATTCAGGAATTATCACAACCAAATAAAAAGCTGTATCTAGTGTCAAAGAGTGTCACACTCTAAGCTCAACAAGCACCTCAGAAATAGAGTAAAGAAACATAGGAAGAGTGCAAATTATATGTTTACATAATTTGCATTGCTTACAAGGAAGGGATCAGTAGTCAAAGCTTTTCACTTTTAATGCATATCATTCTGTTGTCTTGACTGATTAGAGGGCTTTGCCAGATCATGAGGATTGGTAAGTCTGGGCCCTTGCTCACGCAGAATTCCACAAGGCCTCAAACCATTTAGCAACCGCCGTACTTCTCAGAATCGCTTTGGCTAACTGAAAGCTAAAATCTGATAGTAGGGGAACCTTTGACAGGAGACAAAAGAAGGTGAGAAAGCACAATGGCAATGGCAATGGCACTCACCGGCCATCATAAACGGTACCCTATTTTCAGGTGTATAAGCTGCACTTTTCAAATTTTCAAACGAGCTGCTCAGCCGCGTCTTTGTGTTTCGAGAAGCGATCCTTATACCGCACGATTCTTCTAGGCAATACGCAGCACGGTGTAGGGTCATGTGGTTGCAAGGTCTTTTGATGTGTTCGGGCTGGTCAATGTAAGCTAGGACCACCCCTTATCCATCTAAAAATAGGGTACATACTAATAGTGATTCGTGTGTGCGGGCGTAGTTTTCGGCATTTACGAGAAAATTTTGACATTTCTTCTTCGTCTGCACTACACCTATCGTATGCTGTAAAGAAGGATGGCCACTTTTCTTAGACTGATCCGGTTATGAACCAAAATTCAACTAAAGCGCACACAAACTACGCAGCCTTGTGTCAATTAATTTTGCTTTTCGATCTATAAAATTCATTTACGATCAGCTCTAAAGGATAACTACAGAATAATTACATCAAACGTTTAATTCCCATCTCAAAAAGTTTTTGAACAATTTTTGCCAATTTAGGGAAAGTTTGGTGATGTAAACGGAGTTGTATGTCAAGAAGCGCGATATTTCTTGCCAGCCGGGCAAAACATGTAATTTGTGTTATACAACACTCTATATGTATTTGAAGTTTTGTAGAAAGACTAGCGACCCTACGCTAGTCTAGTCGCTAGGGTCGCTAGCAAGTGGATCGGGGCAGATACAATATAAGGGCTTAGTTGTGACTCTAAATATTTTTTAAGTAAGTTTCCTATTCCTTTCCTGAAAACATTTTTGCGAAGAGCATTCTACAAAAGGAGAGCTGCTCGAAGAAGCGATAATCTCCACAAATCATTCAGCATTTCTCGAAATTCCTGCTACAACCAATGCATGGAGGATATTATTTTCCTCTCGTTTATCACGCTCTTTCTGAAAATTTCTTTCCCCTTCTCACAGAGACATTCAGACAAACTCCTCCCCCCCCCCCACTTTTCTACCATCTCAAAGAGAATTTGCTCTTCCAGTTCTTCTCGACGTTCCATAAAAGATCGGTGAGTAAGTAGCAGAACTCCTATCGTTTTGGAAGTAGGATTACACGCATGACAATTATGTGTACTACAAAAAACACTTTTCTTTCAGAACCGATTCTGACAGCAACGAAATCAATCGTCTTAGAACTTTGTCAGAGAGTCCTTCAATTTTTTCGCCAAAGGAATATGAAGCTTTACTACAAAAGATCCCTCCTCGAAAAGCACGACTACTGAGCCATCTAAAGATCGTCAATCATAAGAACTGCACAAACGTACAAAAAATTTGTTTCCCTGTCCCATCAAATTGCTGCCGCTTACAAACGAATATTATCTATCTGAAAGACAGTTTATGCCCTACGTGCCGCTTGAAGACCGCTTAAAAATTATAAGAACTGTCCCAAACGTACAAAAAACTGTTTCCCTGCCCGATCGAGTTTCCCTGCGTGCCGCTTACAGACCGATAGCAACTATTCAAAAGTTTATGCCTCTACAGAAAGAAAACAACGAAATCAAGTATTTGCAGGTATCCTCAAACTGCCGGTACATGCCACTTTAGACTTTGTTTCCCTGCCCGATGGAATTGCCCGCTTGCCGCTTACCTAATTGAAAGCACCAGCGGGACCCAGTTACACAAGCAAAAGCAAGGCCTATTGTTAGATAAACGCTTTCAAAAGTACCACCGTGACCAAGTTACTCACGCACTCTCTTGTCTACAGAAGCAAGATAAAAAGTGACTATTCTTAATTAGAGCATTTTACCAAGAGTTGAGAACATAGATGAATTTAGCTTAAGTCACGCTTTTACGCAATTTGGCATCATTTCAAAAACAACTAATGGGAGTGCAACATATTTGAACGACACATTCTGAGATAACAAGCTCGAAATAAAAAACAGGTACAAATAACACACCCGGACACTGGCGACTCACAAAATCATTGCGACACTCATGATTGCCTTTCGAAATACGTGTAATCCTTTTACGAAAATATCCTTGGTCATTCGCTATGAAATTTGGCAGCGTTTCAAAACGCATGCCACTTTGCAGCAATACAAGAATGAACACCTGTACATTTCACCATAATTTCTCCGTCTGCTGTCTCCTCGTTTGCCGCTTTCCACGGATCAGGGGTGGCCAAACGGTAAACAACGAACTCATTATACGTTACGTAGTGATTTAGTAGTTAAAGACATGGGGTTGTTCAATCTTATTACCACAAATTCAGTTCAAAATATAAATGTTGATGGTTAAAAACCTTGGCAGATCAACTGATATTAAATGCGTAAACATTCCACTCAATTTTTCACTGAAACGGTTGAATTCAGAAAGTGGCAACTTCGATCAGTAAGCCAATGCACTTTGTTTGGCATTTTTTGAAGACTCGCATAATACTGAACTGGGTTCTCGAATTGATAACTTCATCAAAATCGTCCATCTTATATATAAAGCTGAATGTCTGTTTGTATGTCTGTCTGTATGTCTGTCTGTCTGTATGTGTGTACGTATGTTCCGAATAGAAAATTCCATTTCTGAACCGATCCGGACCAAACTTGGCACACATACACTACGGGCCCCGGCGGGTGTCATAGGCTACTTTTCGTCATCGATCGATATCGATTTTATCGATTTTTATCGATTTTTTTGCTGAGTGCACCTACGGGGCTGGGAGTTAGCATAGGGGGGTAATCGAGCATGGGGATTCCGAATACAATATTGGTTTTCAGGATTATCGATTACTTTTATCGATTTTATCGATTTTTTTGCAAAGTTTGAGCTACGGGGCTGGGAGTTGGCACAGGGGGGTAATCGAGCATGCTGATCATCCCCAAGGGGGTGATCAGCATGCTCGATTACACCCCTGTGCCAAATTCCAGCCCCCTAGCTCAAATTTTGCAAAATCGATAAAATCGATAGAAGTAATGGATAATTCCAAAAACTAATATTGTATTCGTAATCTGCATGTTCGATTACCCCCCTGTGCAAACTCCCAGCCCCGCAGGTCAAACTTTACGAAAAAATCGATAAAATCGATAAAAGTAATGGACGATCCTGAAAACTAATATTGTGTTCGTAATCGGCATGCTCGATTACCCCCCTGTGCAAAATCCCAGCATCGCATGTCAAAATTTACAAAAAATCGATAAAATCAATAAAAGTAACCGATAATTCTGAAAACTAATATTGTATTCGGAATCCCCATGCTCACTTCCCCCCTGTGCCAACTCCTAGCCCTGTAGGTGAACTCTGCGAAAAAATCGATAAAAATCGGTAAAATCGACATCGATCGATAACGAAAAGTGGACTGTGACACGCGCCGGGGCCCGAAGTGTATGTGTGCCAAGTTTGGTCCGGATACGGCGGAGCCGGGTAAGCCAGCTAGTGTTGAATATTTCCCATGTAGTCGGTGTATCTTTTGTTGCTTCAAATATTTTTATGCATACAAGACATCAAAAGACAAATGTTTTCATGGCAAAGTTAATAACGACAATTACGTAAAAATTGCAGAGAGTCATTGCACCCATGTGTTGAGCATGTCATAATGTAAACAAGTAATCATGGTTATCTGAACAATCGTGAAAACGCCTTAAATGTAATCTATCTCTAAATATCTTTGCTGTGACACATGGGTGTTTGCTGGTATCTAACGCTACACTAAAAAGTAGTGAACAATGAAATCCTCAACCCGATTTTTGAAAAAGCATCTTCATGAGTGCGACGACATCTTTTTGAAGGGTGGCATTCTTTTCGCTGAAATTAAAAGTGGATCAACATTATCGCGTACGTCAAGAAAACGGAATGTCCCTCTAGTGCCCGAAATAGCGGAATGGAACAGTAAAAATCAAAATAATCAGTGGCTGCTGATGTTGAACAGTCTTCAAATAAATTTTATATTGCCGACTGACCTGGAGCCCTTGGAATCAGCCTCTATTTTTCAAGCGCGGCATGTACTTCAGTTTACATAGCTATTAAACTGTGTTGTATGCGACTGCAATCGGTCATGTGTTTATTGATATTTTAGCTACTTCTACTTAAAGTAAAAAGACCGGACAATTTCAGCCAATATGAGCGCATCAATTTAAAGATTGATCTAATCTATGCCTTGAGTTGCCTGTTGACATTCTTCCATCAAATCAACAAGATTATTTCTTGCAAATTTCTGAATCTTTCGCTTTAAGAAATTTTTGCGACGCATCAAAGTGTGTTTTTTTGGAATCTGTAGCTTCTTTCATTTGAAATTCAAAACATTCTGCTTTTTGCAGATTATCAATGTTAAGGTCAGAAAACCTTCTTGCTAGTTCTGGTCAATTTTGTTGATGACAAAGAAAAAATCACAAACGAATCAAATTATCTCTCAGTTATCTTGGCACTTCCCAACCCCGCAAGTTGACTTACAAGGATGGTCAGAATTCGAAGTGGCAAGTACTCAGGGATTCGCGCCGTGCGAGCGGTCCTCCTATAAGGGCTAGCGTACGAGCGGTCGACATAAGCCTAAAGCCTCCGTGCGTGCGGCGAACAGCTGAAGCGCCGTCCTAGCGGCAGGCAATGTTACCGTGCAAACGGCATGCAATACAGTTGTTCGAGCGAGCGGGCCAGCAATGCGTCCGCCTTATCGGTCGGCAATACATGTTGCCGTGCAAGCGGCCAACAGTGACCTCTATTTTCTGCTCACTATTTTCACACATTGTGAGCGTAAATGGTACCTGTGTGAGATACGACGCAGTGTTTAGGCTGGCTAAGCGTTGACACGTGTCATCAACATTTCCTCTTACCAGCAAGGCTGGGATGAATCTGTGTGAGGTTACAGTTATCAAGAGTGATGATGAGGGCTTCCCCATAAAAAGTTTGGCGATGCTGCAAGCATCGATCCGTGTTCCCAAAATGTGTAAAGGATTGATCTATCCAAGAAAAATGGTCAAGATATCGCGAATACATCTACTCCAAGAGCAAGCGGGCGGCCGACTTTCTCCGCGCAAGCGGCGAACATTAGAGACTGTGCGGGCGCCCCACGTTAACCGTGCCAACGGCCCTTGACGACCGTACAATCGCACACACCGACGAGCGATTGTAAGGTCGTCGCTGGCCGCCCGCGCGGCGCGAGTCCCTGAGTAGAAGCAAGCTGCATAACATTAGATGCAGCATAAGACGCTGATTCGAAATCCGTTTTCCTTATAGAGTACTTTTATGAATGAAGTTGTAAGCCATTGGAGGTCATCATTTTGCTAAGAAATCGTGCGTGTAAAGGACAAATTTGAGCCGTACGGTGCCATATTCGGCTCAATGTGAACCAAAACATCCAGCTAGATTACTTTAAATGACCTATACCTAAAAGTAAGCCAAACGGACAATAAAAGGCTTAATTTCGCAATTTTTATGTGCGATTTTCGCAGTAAAATCGTAACTTCGCCTACAGGGGCGTTCTGGAAGACAGATTTGAAGTCAGCATTCCATGCTGCATTGAATGGTAGGTGGCTCGTTTGAATTGGCTACTTCGACTTCTGACCATTCCTTTGTTAGATGCTACAAAGATTTTTGTTTCCTGCAAGTTTTGGAGCTATACTGATATCTGCGCTTGGATGAAGTGCGCATAATCCATGTTGCGCCCAACTCGATGACACTTGGGAAGAGGCTGAACTGCACAGTTCAAAACTCGACACATAACTAAAATTTTGGACATGAGCAAATATTAGAGATGTCGAGAAATTATCCTTAGAAAATTTAGCCGTTCTGCAGACTACATAAAGGAGTTACAGCTTCAAAACTGTCATCTTGGTCAAATAGTTCCAATTGCGTACAAATGAAATTGTGTTTCAGAAACGAAGTCAAAAATCAAAGTATCTTTCTTTTCGGATTTTTAGCGTGTTCTGGAAGAAGCGATATCTCAGAAAAGCGCTGCACAAGATTATCTGCTCGAATACTTCACTCCCCAATAATGTGCATCATCTCATGAATCGAGTTTTGTTAGAAAAACGGTTGTATGGAGTTCTTTGTGGGGATTGCCATAGACGAAGATGGATAGATTGTGCTACAAAAATATCAGCGAAGATCTCTTAAGAATAACGTATGTTGTTAAATTTTTTTGGCCCCTCAAAGAGTTACAAATTAACAGGAGTTTTGAGAGAATGCAGAATGCATCTATTTGTATTAGGTTGGTGCAAAAGTAATGCGCGTTCTGCGAGTTCTCGCTTTGACGTGCTATAACTTTCTAAAATATCCATATTCTTCAGTGCGGCAAAGTTCGTCAGAGGCATCAAACCTTTCTCTATACAGCGCACATTGCCTTAGGTTAATTTCGTAAATCGGTTAAAAAATATGGATTGATAAGCAAAAAAATTTTTTTTTCGGAAACATCGTATTTAACTGATCATAACTTCCTTCAAGATTTGTCGGTATAAATAATAAGTTGACTATCTTGTAGCCGCAAGCCAGTAGTACAAAAAAAGTAGAAAAGGGCTCAAATAAAGAGTATTTGCGAAAAGGAAAAAAATAATATTCAAAATTTTCCGTTTTTTTCGACATTTTATTATAGCCTTCAAAATCCCAAAATATGGAGATTTTTGATTTTCTGTGTACTGAACAGCTTCCACATTTCTGCAAAAACTGTCAACAGGAGGTCCACCCTTACGCTTACAGAAATGAGCAAAACCTTGGCGATTACTCTCTTCAAAGAAAATCTGTGGGGCACAGAATGACCAAAACCATCACTCACGTTGAGGCGCGGAGATCTCAGTCTAAGTAATTTCTAGAGAAACAGTAAAGCCTGCATAACGTAGGAAGTTTCTACTACATACAGTATTTAAATTTTTAAAAGAATGCCTTTAGTCGCGCTTGAGTTCTGGCCGAAAAAGTAAGTGCAGTGAAATTCTGATTTTGACTGCGGTTGTATGAAGCTCTATAAATTTTTAATGAATTAGGCTAAAAACTTCTTTCAGCAACCGTTGAATAGAGCATGAAAGAAGCTTCTTGATAGTATGCTGGCTAAGTTTCATAGGAGAAACTTCGATGGAGAAAAGCTATCTTGAAACAAGGGCTAGAAAAACGCGCATTACTTTTGCACCAACCTAATAATATTTCGACGTTTTCGAAAAATCTCACCTCTCAAAGATCCATTTATGGAATTTCTCAAACTCCTTCTTCTCAAACTCATTCGGGTGCTGTCGTTTCCAGTCAGTTATGTGATAGTTGCTTTGCCAATATTGTCTATCTTTGCTCAGAGGAGGATTTCGTGATGGTGATGGTGCTTTGTTTGGTCGAGGCGATTGCAGACCAATAAATGATTCTGCAAAAAGTTTCAGTTGGAGCATTGCCTGTCAGGATTATATATTCCTTGATGTTTCTGGATTAATGGGTGTCCGATGTTTCAATAACGTCACTCGGTTTTTTAAAAATTTTGTGGATGATTCTTTCTTGATGAAAATGGATTACATTGTTTCCCTTGGTAGAAGTAGTTACTATATTTTCAATCTGCAAAAACTAGGCAAAAGTTTTCAGATCGTATCTATTAGAATTTCTTTGAGATAACAAAATTATGACTGACACAAAACTCAAAATTGATTTGTGCCTAATCTCTGGCAGAGGGATAAGCTAGAGTGAATCACTGTGGGTATATACAGGGTGTCCCAAAAAAATGTTTCGAACGTTTGATCGTTAATATCTCTCTTCCCAAGAAGTCTTTTGCCTTGCTTCAAGTACCATTTTGTAGAGCTGGCTTCAACTTAGATTTGCATTAAAGAACGAATCACCCATCTCTCTTCATTACTGTAGGATTACGGTAGAAACTTGAAACATATGGTGTCAATGTGGAAAAAGCTGCAGTTCCAAAATTCTTCAAAAAATTGTGAAAACTTGTGTAATAGGGTTTTTATGGATGCTGAGTTCAATACTCAACTATTCACAAGATTACAAAGCTTTCTAAACGGTGTAATCGCACTTTTTAGGAACATTGAAAAAATGGCCGCTACCTCTTACCTGGCATAACTCCTCAATGAAGCACCATAATAAGTTGGGAACTTTACAGTTATAATCAGCAACTCTAATTAGCCTAGTGTGAAAACTTTCAGGCTGTTTTATTTCCTTTCTAAGGCAAAATATGGCCTTTCATTGCTTAAAACCCTCTTTGAAGTTTCTACCGTAATCCTACAGTAATGAAGAGGAATGAGTGATTCGTTCTATAATGCAAATCTAAGTTGAAGCTAGCTCTACAAAATGGTACTTGAAGCAAGGCAAAAGACTTCTTGGGAAGAGAGATATTAACGATCAAACGTTCGATACATACTTTTGGGACACCCTGTATATTAGGTTGTCCCATAAGTCTTTTCATTTCTGAGTTTCCGCTATAATAAGTCGCACACTTCTTATTCTAAATAGACATCAGGATACCATTCGATAGGGCAAAGCAAGCTCTATAAGATGGCGTTTACGCTTTTGCACAAGCTTTGGTCTATCTCGAGTTTTAAACCAAAATCTAAAAAGTTTCGGATGGCCAGAAAACCGAAATTTTTTTATAACTTTGTTCAAAAAAATCCTACAAACTCAAACTTGCTCACGTATATACTTCCACATCAGACATTCATATGTGCTGTTGCTGCATTTTTTTATCAGCTAGAAATCAAGAAACCGAAAATTTTCATGTTTTTACCAAAGTGATGCTGTGGTATTCTTACACTAACAGTTGTATACTAGATGCCCTTAGAAGTACTACCGTAGATTTTTGGCTCTCTATATGCTCTGGTTCACGAGAAATATCAAATTTAGCTTTCTACATTTGGGTTTTTCACGCTTAAATCAACATTTCTCGGGAACCAGAGCTTATATAGAGCTAAAAAATACAGTTGTACTTCTAAGGGCTTGTAGTATACAACTGTCAGTGTAAGAACAGCACAGCATCACTTTGATAAAAACAGGAAAATTTTCGGTTTCTTGATTTCTAGCTGATAAAAAAATGCAGCAAGAGCACATATGAATGTCTTATGTGGAATGTATATACGTGACCAAGTTTGAGGTTTGTAGGATTTTTTTGAACGAAGATATAAAAAAAATTTCGGTTTTCTGGCCATCCGAAACTTTTTAGATTTTGGTTTAAAAATCGAGATAGACCAAAGCTTGTGCAAAAGCGTAAACGCCATCTTATAGAGCTTGCTTTGCCCTATCGAATGGTATCCTGATGTCTATTTAGAATAAGAAGTGTATGATTTATTATAGCGAAAACTCAAAAATGAAAAGACTTATGGGACAACCTAATATAATAAATATATTAGGTCATTCCGAAAGTAATTTCGCTTTTTTCATACGGGAACCACATTTGACGTAGCAAAGGTTTCTAAGAGATCTTGGATGCGTTCGATGCAGCATTTCATTCTCTTTCTAACGGTTACGAAATTGTTGCAAAAAAATTAATGAGCTTTCAGAAAATAACCAAAATCTGAGACCCATGCTTTTTAAGATGGTCAAGTTTCACGATTTTTTACAACTTTCATATCAACCCTCAGAAGGAGCTCAAGTAACGATTCGATAGAGTAAACCTTATAGAATACAGTGCTACTTTTCTCTCCTTTCCATAGCTTGTCATACATTTTTAACAGAATTTTAACTGATGCTACCGATTTCCACACTTGAGCAGCTAAATCCTCGTAGAACATCAAAAGAAAGGCAGCTCGCGCACTATTCGAAGCAGCATTTTCTCCTCTTCTTAATAGGTGTTTTTTGTTTCCGATTCTAAACAAAGTTTCCGAGGAGAAATCATCATAATTCATTCTTTTAGCGAGCCCCAGGCTATACCCGAAAAACTCGAAATTTGATATTTCGAACCCGTAAACCCCCACTTGCTTTGCAAAATTGATGCTAACTCATAGTACCATCTTGGTAAACTCAAATTCCGAAAAATCATGATGTTTGATGCGATTGTGGCTGAGGTGGGCCTGCCAAAATCCGGTAGTTCTGTTAGAAAATCTAAAAAATATTACGGCGAGCTGCAAGGAAGAGAAAAAAGTACTACTGTATTCTATAAGGTTTGCTCTATCGAATCGTTACTTGAATTCCTTCTGAGAATTAATATGAAAGTTTTAAAAAATCGTGAAACTTGACCATCTCAAAAAGCATGGGTCGCAGATTTTGGTTATTTTCTGAAAGGTCATTGATCATGCTGCAACAATTTTATGATCATTGGAAAGAGGACGAAATTCTGCATCGAAGGCTGCCAAGATCTTTTAGGAACCTTTGTTCCATCACATGTGGTGCCCGTATGAAAAAAGCGAAATTACTTTCGGAATGACCTAATATCTATATATATAATATATCATAGTAGTAAGAACAGTTTTTCCCATTTGTTTGGAACTTTGTGTACGGGTAATCGGAAACCCGTGTCCGGTATGCAAATTGAGAGATTCTCCTGGTCAAATAAAAACGATTTCAACATTAACTCGCAAGTTAAATACCTAAAAGAATTCTAAGCTTTAGAACAGGAATTTTGCGTTTTTTTTTTGCAGAAAACATGAACTTCATTGGGCTCACCATTGTCCTCATCCTCGTCGTCAATCCTTGACGAAGGAGTTAGCGTTCGACGTCTTGAACCAAAAACAAACTTATCACCAGCACTACGAGATCTCTTCATTTCTGCAGAGCTGCAAAATCAGTTGTCGGAAAGTGAGGTAAGATTCAAAACGAAGAAATTTGTAGGATTGCGTAAAATGCCCAGATGGATGAGGTTTGTCCTTCTAGCTAATCGAGGTAATAAAGCATGGGGATGCGACCCTGTTTCCATAGAAATCGGAAATCGCCGCGCTTGGCCTCAAAATGGCCATTTGTCACTGTAGGCAAGAAGTAACAAAGAGAACTGATTTGGGTGTTGGCCTAGATAAGGTTCAGGGGTCCATATAAAAGTTTTATTGGAAAAAAATTTAATGCAATAAATGATTTCTATCTATTGCAATGATAACCGCTGTCCGTTTTCGCAAGATTTAAAGGTATTTTTTGTATGTCACAACCAAAAATAGATATTTTCTGATTTGATGTAGTAGGATACCTAGGATAGAGTACATACTTGTCAACACTTTGTTTTCGCACTTTTTTTCTGAATTCTATTTTTTCGGATAGCCAGAATTCAAAGAAAAGAAAACTGGTGAAGCAAACGGGCGCTCATAAGCTTTTCCCAAATGTGTAACCTATTTATAGACATAAAAAATCTAGCATACCTTAAGTGCTATTCGAGGAAAACAACAGAACTTCAAAGAGCAAAATTTTTTACATTTTGAGTTTATTTTTTTTCTCTATTTTTCGGCACACAAAAGATGCGGCAAGGTTAATATAAATGTTTGATTGGAGAAAGAGGCAGTAAGATGGTCCGTAAAATATTTATAGTTGGAGCTGTGATTCAATGAGAAATCAAAAACCTTCGAATTTTTTTTTTTGGAGGCCCTTGTGAAGCCTGTTTCTAGGATAGTAAATATACCTAAGTAGAAGTAGGATCAGCCGGCTTTTGTCAAATTGAGAAAAATAAAGATAACCTTAGGAAGATAAATCTATAATAATTTGTTGTGGACACTTATTGGTGAATACGGATTTTGGATGATTGTGATTCGTGAATTTATTTTTACAAATTTCTTGAAAAATTCGAAATTATGTGCACTCGTCAAGCGGTGCAGCTGTCAAAAGCCGTTCTTATGGTTAGATGTAAGAAGCCAAAGCTATTCAGTGCTTGAATGGAGGAGAACAAGATGATGAATGGCGAATGAGGATTATAAAGTCTTAAAAGCTAATGGAGTAGAAGAAATGGAGAAATCACTCGGAGGCTGCAGAACACATAAAATAGCTTATTGCGCCGTCATTTTTATGGATTCATTAGCATCACATAAACAAGAAGTTTTTGCAGAATGGAATTTAGCAGATGAGGACATCATTGAGGCATATGAGGGTTTTTAGGATGAGCTCTAATGGGGATAAGTGCTGTTTTCAGAGCGTTAGAAATGTTTTAGTAGCACTACAGAGATTTGCGCTCGAAAGCGGCCGTTCTCGCATCGAAAATGCCATAAAACACGAAGTTTGAAGTGCGTGTGCGTCTAGATGTGTGGGGTGGCACACCAAACAAATGGAAGAATCGCGTGAATAAGATCGAGTGCTCTTTGATGGCCAAAAATAGGGGGGGGGAGAGGGAGGAGAGGAAGAGCAAGCTGCAGCACTCGAGGAATTCGAGACGATGCGCGCACTCGGCTCGGCTTCTGATAATGATGGTGAGAAAGTATCAGACAAACCAGTAAACATGCTCACATCGCTCACAATGACTCCACTAGCATCGTGCAAAATAGAGCCGGTAATCCTCCTAAGTTATGGCATTCCAAGGAGTTGGCATATATCCAAAACGACATTAATGACATGGATCGCTGGTTGGATGATGAAACATGAATGTCTCAAAAAAGCATCCTCATTTTTCTGCGTTAGTCCTTTCTTGTTCTATGTTTCTTAATTTCTGACACTGATTTTTCATGAATCTGTTGATTACTAATGCGATTCTACGCCTGTAGCATATTGAATAATTAAATAAATAAATATGGTCATGCTGGTGAATTTTTGATATAAATCATACATTTTGAAAGACATATTTCCTGACTTCGATTCCTTCACTCATACATAATGTCAAGAAGAGACTATCGACCACTTTTTCTTTTGTTTTGTGTATGTGCATTTAGCTTAAATTATTATAAACAAGTGATGAAAAAATTAATGTGCTGGGGAGGGCGCGGAAAGAAATATCATATATAATTCAAACAATGCTCGGGTGACTTGCTTTCACTGTAAATATCCGAAAAGAAAAATTGAATTGCCAAAGTTATAAACAAGTACTGTAATTTGAGTGGGAAGGGGAAGAGGAGGAGGAGGAGGAGGAGTGGGGGGGGGGCGTGGCAAATCAGCTTTTGGCCGAGTTGCGCCATCCCTTTATTAATTAAATATCTGACAAACCTCTCCTCCCTCAATAAGAAAAATTTTTTGGACCCCATTGCAATATTCAAGTGATTGAAATTTCTGATATCTGCTTATCGAAGTAGCTCTCGATATCATGCTAAGAAATTCGAACAGGACAGGAAATATGAGCAACCACCGCTACTTTTTAGTTTGATGAGTTGGCAAAAATTGACCAATGTTAGCGTGTAACGAAGGAGGAATATATGCAACTCCTAATCGTCAGTCAATAAAAAGTTAGATTTATGTTTATAGAGCAATATGAACATTTGCAAAACTTTCCTAATTTGAAGTAATATTTTGCTTAGGAAGTTCAACAAGAGGAGTTCTAATGCAGAACTTTTATATAACTTGGATGTGACAATCGCCTTCTTTTTTGCTAGTCCAGCAGAATAAACTTAATTGAGGTGCGAAGATTTTCGGACGTAGAGAGAATAGTTTTTACGGAGTGCAAAGTGGTACAGGAAGAATGAAAGATGCTTCGGAGTTGAAACATCTGACTGAACGCAGTGGCGGTCCCAGGATTTCCATCCGGAGGGTGGGGCGCGGCAAAATGATTTTTCAATTGAAGGTGCACGGCGTCAGCCACGCACTCCAAAAATTTTCTTGGGGCGCTTCCCAAGATTTCGCGTTCCCGTGACCCCTAAAATTTGGAAAAAGGGGCGTGGCTGCCTTCTCCGGAAAAATCTTTCTACAAAGCCAATTTGGATTTTTGAATTTGAAAAATTATTTTGATTGTTTACAAGAATAAACAAATCACTTGTACATTTTTATAATCTATGTAAGCGGATTCCAAAAAAATTTCGCGACCCATTCTCGGGTGGAGCGCGAGGAATCAGAGCACCTCTCTCCTTCGGTCCGCCAATGCTGCTACGGTATGTACATAACAAAAGGAATAAGATTAATTTCAGAATTTTCTCCGGGAAGTTTAGGAGTAGCTAAGGGAGTTCAAAAAATTCTGTCGTTTGGATTCTTTCCGAATGAATTAGTTCATAGTAGTTGTTGGGGAGAGAACTGAGCTCTCGTAAAAAGCGACGAAAAAAAACGATTTAGAATACAAGAACAAAAAAGCTAAGAGTGAATAAAGACTTTGGATTGACAGTATTAAAAAGGTGTGGTTATAAAGTTTCTTCACAGCTTCAGCTCCTCCTCGCACAAGGATACAAGTCTGAAAATGAGCGATGTAAGAATGTCAGGCATTAGAGCTCTCCACTGAGTTTAAATTTGATTGAACTCCAGGCTTGTTAGTGCTTAGCAGTGTTTAGCTATTTTTGACTAGAAAAACTATCGTCGGAAGCTAGTCAAGATTCTTGCACAGCTTGAGAATCTGAAAAATGCGCAAATAACCATTGGCCGGGCAGTGATCGTTATATGAAAAAGACGCCTTTGGGGAATTATGCCGAGCGACGACTTTCGTCGACGAAGCGCGTATATTGAGCACACTTTATAATCCCCGTAACTGCCGTGATATATGTCGGGCTCGGTTATGACAACTCAAAAACAAAATATAAAATTGAACGCAGACTTATTTCGTGGTTGACGGGTCAAATGTCTTACCAAGCAAAAAAAATTCGAGGTTATTATTTCGAGTGATCTCGGTATATATCCCTTCTTTTTTTTCTTGGCTGGAGGAAAGAATAATCAGAATTGTAATCAATAATAATAATTGTAATCAGAATTAAAAGCAGAAATAGCGGAACTTCTTGCATTGCGTAATCTGAACATTAAAGAACCTTGCTTGAAATCATATCATCTATTTTTGCATTGAGGACATTTTTGAAGAACATAAAAAAAGAGCTGATTTTGAAAAACCATCATAATGCAGAGATTACGTCCTTTCTAGAAACAAGTTTACTTTTTTAAGGCAAAATCGGCAAAAAATATTCAGTCAACAGGTTCTGTGGTCGTATTCATCAACGAACCCAGTGGGTTCCGGAATCCACTGGGTACGATTAACCCACGCAACCGGTATCCACGAAGCTAATGGGTTAGCGAACCCAGCAGTACTTATGATGGATATCGATCCTAACCCGTGGGTTCGCGAAATCACAGAGTCGCTAACCCACTGCGTTGCGGAATCCTTTGGGTTCGTTGATGAATGTGGCCAATGGAACTCTGCGAGCGCTCCTGCCCAGATAATTGCCGGGGGTAGGCGAGTGCAAATTTGGGCTTTCTTGCAGGCGTGGGCCGAATTTGAGGCGTGTCCAAACCTTCAGCGAGCGGTACTTCCTTTACTGTCAAAGCAATACAAAATTTTCGGCAATCGATCGTCAAATAATCTTCTCTATATATTAGCTTGAACCGAAAGTTCTGTCGCACCATTTTCAAAAAATCATACTTCTTTGCCTCACAAGGATTTTGCGCAACTCAAATTTTGTCTGAAAGCGTAAAGCAAGTAGCTTCCAAGAGTTTCCTGAGGACTTTCCAAGGTGCTCAGGTTGCAGAGATAAAAATGAAAGAACGAGATCATCCGAAATTTGGAATTTAGTAGAATTCAAAAAATTCAGAAACTGTGCGAAAATTCTGAAAAGCCATTATCCTAAGAATTTTCAGGAAATTGATTTTTCGGCATTATTTTTCAAAAAAATCTAACTTTTGAAAGAAGGGCTTGATCAGCACAAACTTGACTCAGAATAGTAATCAAATGTAAGAAAAATTAGGATAATGG